ACTGAGTGACTGGGTGAGTGAGTGACTAAGCAAGTGGCTGACTGACTGAGTGACTAAGTGAGCGAGTGACTGAGTCTAGAATTCCCAGAGGCTGTCTGAGTGACTAAGTGAGTGACTGAGCGAGTGAGTGAGCGACTGACCGAGTGATTTGACTGAGTGACTAAGTGACTGAGTGAGTGACTGAGTGACTGACTGGGTGAGCGACTGGCTGAGTGACTGAATGACTGAGTGGCTGAGTGAGTGAGAGAGCGACTGAGTGGGTGAATGAGTGACTGACTGGCTGAGCGACTAACTGAGTGACTAAGTGACTGACTGAGTCTAGAATTCCCAGAGGCTGTCCGAGTCGACCGTCTGGGAGTCGGCTCGCAGCGACGAGGCATGGTCCCCCCTCACGTAGCAACCAGAGCTCCCCACCCTGCACACGCATAGCAACCACGCATAGCAACCACGCGCTTAGCAACCCCTCACGTAGCAACCAGAGCTCCCCACCCTGCACACGCATAGCAACCACGCATAGCAACCACGCGCTTAGCAACCCCTCACGTAGCAACCAGAGCTCCCCACCCTGCACACGCATAGCAACCACGCGCTTAGCAACCACACGCTTAGCAACCACGCGCTTAGCAACCACACGCATAGCAACCAGAGCTCCCCACCGTGCACACGCATAGCAACCACGCATAGCAACCACGCGCTTAGCAACCAGAGCTCCCCACCCTGCACACGCATAGCAACCATGCGCTTAGCAACCACGCGCTTAGCAACCCCTCACGTAGCAACCAGAGCTCCCCACCCTGCACACGCATAGCAACCACGCATAGCAACCACGCGCTTAGCAACCACGCGCTTAGCAACCAGAGCTCCCCACCCTGCACACGCATAGCAACCACGCATAGCAACCACGCGCTTAGCAACCAGAGCTCCCCACCCTGCACACGCATAGCAACCACGCATAGCAACCATGCGCTTAGCAACCAGAGCTCCCCACCCTGCACACGCATAGCAACCACGCATAGCAACCACGCGCATAGCAACCACGCATAGCAACCACGTGCTTAGCAACCCCTCACGTAGCAACCAGAACTCCCCACCCTGCACACGCATAGCAACCATGCATAGCAACCACACGCTTAGCAACCACGCGCTTAGCAACCCCTCACGTAGCAACCAGAGCTCCCCACCCTGCACACGCATAGCAACCACGCATAGCAACCACGCGCTTAGCAACCACGCGCTTAGCAACCAGAGCTCCCCACCCTGCACACGCATAGCAACCACGCATAGCAACCACGCGCTTAGCAACCAGAGCTCCCCACCCTGCACACGCATAGCAACCACGCATAGCAACCACGCGCTTAGCAACCAGAGCTCCCCACCCTGCACACGCATAGCAACCACGCATAGCAACCACGCGCATAGCAACCACG